AATAATAACCTGACACACCTCATATACAGCCGTCCGATCCCAAACCAGAGCCTGTACTATAATATAAAAACTTGACTGCTGATAAACATACTCATATATTTCTAAATACATACATTTGATAGATAAATTACACAGAAGAACACAGACACAGAAGAAATGATCGATGCTAATAATTAATTTAAACCTATCAGCCCATAAAAAAGTTTATATAATTCTTCAAGACTAATTCAAGTTTATCCACAATCGTTTTCTTAATACTGCAATTTTTGTGTTCTAGTTTTAAATCGCCACGTAACCACTTAACTCATTCAACTGTAGACTGTCCCCATAATTCGATATTTCCGTTATCGAACGACGGATAAACTTTTAAACAGTTCAAAAACTTCAGCTATGGCGGTCGGAGGTAATAATTTTTCGAATCGTGTTATTTTGCTGAGTCCACTTCTAGTTATTTTAATGAATAAATCTCTTGAACTTAACTCTTGTGTTTTAGCTGGTGGAAATCATCAAAATGATTTTAATCCAGTTTAAGAAACGGTGGAGGTTCTTCAATCTATCGATTTTTTTTAATGTTTGTTAGCCGATTACTCGATGCAAGCTGACTGAAATATGTAATTTGAGAACATAGATGCTTTCCTTTTCTATGACCCTCCACTATCAAATTTCTTAAGAATAACTTCTCATTGATATAGATAACAGTGCTGAACGCGTGTATATTTTTAATATCAAACAGTAAGCAATGAATACTTCTACAAGCTTTATGCTTTAAGATAGTATTACTAACTTACGCACTTTAGTTTTAACAAGTATTTCTCCTAGTGTTAAAGTTTTATTACTCTGTTTTAGAAAAAGCACTATCTTTTTAGATGAAAAATGCTCAATGTCTTTGTCTTTTCTGTATTCCTAACAATGTGTATACAAAGATTCATGATGATTGGTTGACTACTTAAGGCTAAGAAAGTGTAACACGCAAAGTTACTTTCGCATTCATAATGTCTAAGTTAGGACAAATCGCACATATATTTCACTAAGTAACACAAACTTATTTAAATATTAATACATTCGTTAAATTAAAAAACTATGTCACAATTAAGCAATTCTGCTCAGTGTCTTGGTTAAAGTTACGCAATTAATGAAGGTGTTTAAGAATAAAAGCACCTGGGGCGGTAACCTAAGAGGTTGGGTAAGGGATGGATATAACCTTGCCGAATTTAATCCCTTAAACAGTCCCTATGTTAAGCCACCCACATTACCATACATTCGTGAAGATTATACATTATTCATACGTAGAATTATGTGTATTAAACGGATTAATGTTATTTAAATAATTATATGTTTACAATGATTGGCTCATCACTGACTGGCCCCTTGGTCTAGTAACCCTAACTGTTAAGCGAGAGATAGTGGGTCCCCACAAACGACAAATAATTGTGTGATAAGCATGATATTTTTGAAGTGAAAACTTCTTTAGCGGCGTTGTACACTTTTTTTTGTAATGGGTAAAAAATGTTAAACTCGCGTCAGGACACGTGACCCTGATCGAAAATTCGTAAGACGGATGGAGAGTAGGCGAGGAAGTATCCCCCTCTCTTTCTACGGCGCGGCAAAAATGTATGCAGGCGCAGGGCGCTTGCGCGAATGTTCGTGTGTGTTTATGTTACAGCGTGCCAAGCGCATCTATGGATGGTGACAGAGTCTCGATAAATTATCATGTTTGTGTACGATTGACAATTAAAGCAATTCGTGCAAAATTATTCCCTAACCATTCTAAAATATCAAAAATGCACAACGTTAATATTCAAGTTTTCACTTCTGCCGGCACTCCCGGAGTGCAACCCGTCGTTTTTTTCTGTATCTGGGTGTAATTTATCTCTAATTTATATGTATTTAGAAATATCTAAGTAGGTTTATTATAGAGCTCATACTTATGCAGGCTCTGCCTAGTTTGGACCCGAGGACCTTGTGTAAGATGTGTGAAGCTATTATGATTATTCCGTAATCAAGAATTAAGGCTGTTGTTAGGTTAATACTAAAATGTAATGCAGCTGTTTAAGTTATATTGACCCTACATAAGGCTTGAAGATATGACTTGGATTTCCTGGCAAACATCTAGTTCAGATATGCGATCATGCGACGATAGGATGTCTTTAAAAAGGAGCTTTTGGCCTACTGTAAAACGCGGGTCAGACGGGTTGGTATAGGGTTTGTTTCAAGTTTCACCGCCTCATGCCGCCCTGAGTGTGGCCGCGGGTGGACGGGGTGGGTTTCCCCTCCACCCGCATTAGTTTGGCCAGCCGCGAGGGGGCGGCGTCCGCGTGTGCCGGACGTCGCCTAAAGAGAGGAGAATTTTGAGACGGAGCCCGCACCAGGAGCGGGCTGGCGCTAGGAGGGGTCCGGATGTCTTAACAACAGCTGTTCCCGGATCCCTCCTGTTACAGGCGCAGAGTGGCACACCGTGTGGTTTTAGTCGGTCCGAGTCCGACACACCACCCCGCCGCAAGCCCCGGTGGGGTGACGGTCCGAGGGGATTTCCACACGTTAAAAAAAAAAGGGTTTGTTTCAAGTTTTCCTTCTCTCTGCAGTATTTTTTTGAAAAGGAGGTGTCCGGATGTCTTAATAACAGCTGTTCCCGGATCCCTCCTATTACAGGCGCAGAGTGGCACACCGTGTGGTTTTAGTCGGTCCGAGTCCGACACACCACCCCGCCGCAAGCCCCGGTGGGGTGACGGTCCGAGGGGATTTCCACACGTTAAAAAAAAAAAGGGTTTGTTTCAAGTTTTCCTTCTCTCTGCAGTATTTTTTTGAAAAGGAGGTGTCCGGATGTCTTAATAACAGCTGTTCCCGGATCCCTCCTATTACAGGCGCAGAGTGGCACACCGTGTGGTTTTAGTCGGTCCGAGTCCGACACACCACCCCGCCGCAAACCCCGTTGGGTGACGGTCCGAGGGGACTTCCACACGTTAAAAAAAAAAAAAAAAAGGTTTGCTTCAAGTTTTCCTTCTCTATAAAGTGCTGTTATTCTACGTTGTTTGGTCCCTTAGTCGTCGAGATGAATAGGGGTGGTGACACTCCGTATTCCTCATCCGTCATCACACGGATATTAAAGTTATTAGTAGATGGTAGCTAGTATAGAGCTTTTGCTTATATTCCCAGATTCGTTAGGATGAAAATTGTCCCGTTCGTACCGTTGCCTTCCCATCACACCAACTTTGCCTTTTATATTTAATTCGGTAATTTACCGTTTATATAAAGTGCCTAATAATAAGCTTGCCCCCTTTTACATGACGATTAAATATATGATTAAAATTATAATCGACAAAATAAGAACGTTTAATAATAATGAGCCTATTCCTTTAGGCGTATAAGTGTGAGTGTATGATACTGACATTTTGAAGACATAAGTGCATGGCAATGAGGGATTAATTTGTTACTAGTTACTGTTACTGCATATTTCAGAGCTTTACTCTGAAAATTTAACAAATCTGCCAATTTATATTGAAACAGAGCGGCAAACAAAATCTTAGCAAACTGAAGAAACAAACACAAATTTGTTGTTGCTGACTTTGTGAAAATGAGACTGAAATTTCGCTTCCATTTTCAACTTATCAAATCAATACTTTGGCGGTTAAAGCTGCTACGTTTATATAAACAGGTAATTTGATATCGATAATGAAATTCAGTTTTCATTAGAAAGGTTTTTTTTTAACAAAAAATGTGCGCAAATCAAATTATAACAATTTGTTTAAACTATATATATACTCGTATATACTCGTATATTATTTTTACAACATACAACATATTTCTTTACAAATTGCTGAAACTCAAGGAAAATTTCAATACCGGATAAAACCTAAAAGAAACTAATTAAATTCTTCAGCTTTAGGGTAAACCAAGGTTGGATTACATCATTAAGAAAATATTTGGGCTATATGAAAATGTTCCTTAATACAGAAAATATATTGGATGTTATTTAAATTAAAAATATGTAGATTATTATCGGTGTTCGCATTACGAACAGATACTTGGGAAATATTTGTATATTGGGTCAATGTTCTGCATATTTGTTAATTAAGAAGATAAATACCAATACTAATATAAAAATAATAATTAAAGTTAACAAACATGTCAATAACAATTAAGTTTTCAACGTTAGTTTCACCCTATTTCTTAGTTAGAGTAAAAGAGACACGAATTTAATCCGTTTCAGTACCGAGGTAGAGATTTTTCGATTCTAACTATATTTCAGAAATCTCTAGTCTTTGTTTTAAACCATAAATATAAAATATTACATATTTTTATATTTACTTTTCTGCAGCTGAACGATTCCCTACTTCAAAGAATTTTGTCTATTGTAATAAATATTACGAATATTCAAAATATAGACGCAAAGACTATTTAGGTCAAGTAAGTTTATGTTTTAAAATACATACAACACTAAGTGCGCATTGAACCACTTCACCCATTCAGTCAATACATTCACTTGTATATGTTTGGTTCATTCTCGTGCTTTATTAAACCATGGTAAGGTAGACACCGAATATTGCGTCATTGCATGTGGAAACTTTTAATCAACCGCTACTATAGCTGTTCAATTTTTTTCTGAGCTTTGTTCAAATGAACATGCATATGATACCAGATCTCGGAATTAAAGCGAGCAGGAAATCCTATGAAAAGTTTGTTTAAATTTAGAATGTTGTAATAAAATGAAAACTACACCAGAACAACTATTTTCAAAACCTTTTTTAGTAGAGTTATTTCTGTTATTTAGCTTCTTAATAGAATAAAAACCGAAATGAATGAAATGAAATTAACCTAGTGCCTATTGTTGCTATGGCAAAAATATAACACAAACAGGATATATAGTAATTCCCTAAAACCCCAAATAACTAAAAAAAAATAAACATCGAGTAAATTATTATAATTTACGAATCCCTTGTGAACTCGACTAATTTCAGGATTATCATGAAAAACTAACACTTAAAGAATTTCACATTATACTACTAGGCAGTAGTGGTGTCGTTACCACAAAAAATCGTAACGACAGCCCAGTAGTGTAGTTCAGTGGTATCGTTTTCAATACTCGATATTGTCGATAAAAGCGGTTTACGGAAACATTGAACATACATCGTGATGAATTGATAACTATTACAGGTGTATATTTATTTATCTATAGTAGGTAGGGTTTTCATATACCATTTCAAAGTGAAAAGAAAACGATATTCAATACTCACATCGACATCAATTCCAGGCTGTGCAAAGATCCTAGTGAACGGGTATTCCTTAGGGAGGTAACTGAAGAACTCTTGCCTTCCTCGATACCACTTTACACTATATAAAGTCTCGTTGCCTTCTAGTGTCCATTTACAACCGAGGAGTACAGTATCACCCAGTTTCACGGCAGAGGGCGCTATAAGTTGCACATCACGGAGGGCTATTGAATCTGTAACAAAAACAATCCAGAATTAGCAAAATCACAGAATTTTTAACCTACATATTTTTCTAATGATGTATGAGGTATGGCGATTGCCTCCTACATTATTAGAAAGCCACCTACAAGGGCTTGGCCCTTAAATTGAGAGAGAGGGGGCAAACGAGAAGAGGAAAACGTTTAAGCCTGAATTAATACAATCAAGACAAATTAAATCATTTCTTAATTTTCACTTTTACCAAACCGGTATTAATATTGTATAATTTTTCTCTCTCTCTCTCTCTCTCTCAATTTAAGGGCAAGGCCATTTTCGGTGGAGCTATTGCCATGGTTGTCTATTTTCTGTGATCTATTTGACCTTTTGATAAGCCACGACGTCTACTTTCTCCTTTTCTTGCAGTATGTACGTTGATCTAGGCCTTCACACTCCCCCGGCGATGGCCTCCTTGGCCGGAGATGACGGGGAGCACGGGGAGGAAAATGTTCCGCCCGTCTGGGATTCGGAGGTAGGGGCGGCTGTTCTACGGATCCGTTCCAAGAACACCGCCCCTGGGCCAGACGGGGTACCGGCCCGAGTGCTGGCCCTGGCCCTCAACCACTTGGCAGACCGCCTCGGGGAGGTGTTCGACGCTAGCTTGGCGTCGGGACGCTTCCCTGAGTGCTGGAAGAGCGGGAAGCTGGTCCTATTGAGGAAGCCGGGACGGCCTGCCGATTCGGTCGCGGCCTATAGGCCCATCATGCTGCTGGACGAGGCGGGCAAATTGTTTGAGAGGGTTCTTTCTGCCCGCATCGTCCGGCACCTCTGCGAGGTGGGCCCCGATCTGTCGGACGCCCAATTTGGTTTTCGGGCGGGGCGTTCGACAGTCGACGCTGTGTTGCGCCTGAGGGCCGTGACCCGAAGAGGCCGTGAGCTGTGGCGGCGTGCTGTTGGCGGTGTCATTGGACATCGCCAACGCATTCAATAGTCTGCCATTCAGCTGCATCAGGGAAGCACTCCACTATCATGGGGTGCCAAAGTACCTGAGGCGGCTGGTGGCAGACTATTTAGAGGAGCGTACCGTCGTGTACGAGGACCGAGAAGGTAATTTGAGGAGTCGGCCCATGTCGTGCGGTGTTCCACAGGGGTCTGTTCTTGGACCCCTCTTGTGGAACATAGGGTACGACTGGGCCCTTCGCGCCGATTTCCCCCCCGGGCTGGGTGTAATCTGTTACGCAGACGATACCCTCGTGACAGCCCGGGGGGCAAACTTCCAAGAGGCGGCGCGCCTGGCCACAGGGGGAGTCTCCCTGGTGGTCGGGCGCATTGAGGCGCTGGGCTTACGGGTGGCCCTAGATAAGACGGAGGCCCTGTTATTCCATGGGCCCCGTCGTGGTCCACCCCCTGGCGCCTCCATCGTGGTCAACTCGGTCCTCGTACCGGTTCGGGCCCAGATGAAATATCTGGGCCTGATCCTCGACGGGAGGTGGCTCTTCGACGAGCACTTCCGACAGCTTGCTCCAAAGCTGGTCGGCGCTGCGTCCGCCCTAGGGCGACTTTTGCCCAATATGGGTGGACCCAGCGTCGCGACAAGACGGCTGTACACGGGGGTTGTCCGGTCAATGGCACTGTACGGTGCACCGGTGTGGGCGGCGGCTCTGACCGCCCAGAATAGGGTACGCCTCTGGCGCCCTCAGAGGGTAATGGCGGTCAGAGCCATACGCGGTTACCGCACCGTTTCGACGGATGTGGCGTGCGCGTTGGCCGGAACTCCCCCGTGGGATTTGGAGGCGGAAGTGCTCGCCGAAGTTTTATCGGCGAGTGGCTGACTACCGGGCGGAGAGCGGATTTCGCCCTCCGCCCGAGGATGTGCGCGAGTGGCGCGAAGCCGCTCGCCGAGCCACGGTGGCTCGTTGGTCGTTCCGGCTGGAGACTCCACGCGCTGGCTTCGCCGCCGTGGAGGCTCTCCAGCCGGTCATCGCCGAGTGGGCAGGGCGGCAGCACGGGACCCTTTCCTTCCGACTGACGCAGGTGCTTTCCGGGCACGGTTGCTTCGGAAAGTACCTGCACACCGTTGCTAGGAGGGAACTGAGTCCCGCCTGCCACCACTGCGACTGCAGTGAGGACTCGGCCCAGCACACGCTGGCGGTCTGCCCCGCATGGGCGGCGCAGCGCCGGGCCCTCACTGCAGTCATCGGAGTGGATCTCTCGCTAACCGGCCGTAGTACGCTCCATGGCCGGTAGCGACAGTTGTTTTACCGCGGTCGCAACCTTCTGCGAGGTAGTAATCTCGCGGAAGGAGGCGGCGGAGAGGGCCCGGGGAGGACGACCTCCACATCGGACCCGATCCGCCGCCGGCGAACCGGGCGGCGGAGGCCCGGCTATCACAGCCTCATGCCGCCCTGAGTGTGGCCGCGGGTGGACGGGGTGGGTTTCCCCTCCACCCGCATTAGTTTGGCCAGCCGCGAGGGGGCGGCGTCCGCGTGTGCCGGACGTCGCCTATAAAGAGAGGAAAAACATCGAGACGGAGCCCGCACCTGGAGCGGGCTGGCGCTAGGAGGGGTCCGGATGTCTTAACAACAGCTGTTCCCGGATCCCTCCTATTACAGGCGCAGAGTGGCACACCGTGTGGTTTTAGTCGGTCCGAGTCCGACACACCACCCCGCCGCAAACCCCGGAGGGGTGACGGTCCGAGGGGATTTCCACACGTTAAAAAAAAAAAAAAAAAAGGCCTTCCTCACTTTCCTTTCCTCCAGTATTGTTTTAAATAAGTTTTCGTCTCTTATCAAGTGGCCAATCATTTTGACTTTTCTGTTTTCAATTGCATTCAATTGTATTACTATTAAACCATGCCCTAAACAGCAGTAACACAGTATCTATTATCATCGAATGCCTGAAATTTCGACTAGGTTGCATTTGATTTGGTTACGGACTAACTTTTTAGGATAAAAGAAGTATCATGAATCGTGAAAGTTATAGTGAAGTTGTAAAACTAAAAAAATTGCTACATCTAGCTACTCTTTCTTTCATAATAAAGATAACCTTGGCAGGCCTGTTGGTCTAGTGGTTAGTGACCCTGACTGCTAAACCAGAGGTCGTGGGTTCGATTCCCATCCAGGACAAATATTGTGTGATGAGCACGGCCATTTGTTCTGTGTCTGGGTGTAATTTATCTATAATATGTATGTATTTAAAAATATATAAGTATGTTTATCAGCAGTCTGGTTACAATAGTACAGGCTCTGCCTAGTTTGGGATCAGACGGCCGTGTGTGAGGTGTGTAAAAAAAAAAAAAAAATAAAAAAAAAAAAAACCTATCTAGATATTTTGTAAAATCTAATACTACATATTTCACCCAATAAAACGATTTCCTCAGTTCTTTTAACGTAGTAGTATTACAAAAGAACACTCTCTCATTACGTTCTAAATAACGTCTGATCCAATATGTTGGTCGTCCACTAACAACTGATACGGTAAATCAATTTGGGGAAGTAATGTACAGAAACATTTGTTCCAATGTCCCATTTTCTTTTTCCTTTCCCGCCATGTTGTGGTATGTATTGGATAAGGTGTGGTACAAGTTGCAGCGGAAAGCAAGCGAAAAAACTTCAGAAGAATATATGAGAGCAATGTCTTCTAAAAGAGAATGTAGCATTAAGACTTAGAAAGATGTAACATAGCAACATTGAAAATACAATACAGTATTATTTTGCAGAGTACTATCCTGCCTCCATCTCCAAAGAGGCAGAGCCATATGAAACACCCACGTTTGGTATTTTCCATTCCCGTGAAATGCTGACAAACATACGCTTTTGAAATTAAATGGGCAAATTAAGATAAAATCAAAGGAAACCACGATAATAGCTTAACCAGCTGGAAGAGTATGAGGAACAGCTCGACCATGTCAGGATCTGCGAGCCCTCTAACTTAGTAGGCATATTTGTTTGCTTATGAGAGGTCGCTGCATTCAGCGACCTCCTATAGCGTATGTCGATTAAATTAATAATCCTAAAGTAGACATGTCAAGAGTATCTGAAGCTTTCAGCCTACCCCGAAGTGAATGAGGCGTATTTACTAATAGATGTGTATTCTAGTGACGTGTTGACTTTTCGATTAACAGTACCGGTATCCAGTATCAAATTTATCTGTATAACTTTATGATCTTTTCGTTTATGGTTATACTAAATCTAACCGCCATCAATGGTACCCTACCTTATCAAACTAACACGCCACTGTTACGCTTTGACCGCAAACAATTACATTACATCAAGCGACGCCTCTCTTAATGCAATTAGAAGACAGATGCCAGATATATTTATAAATGATTAGACACGAAGCAGGCCTAAGTATTACTTGATTATAGTTATATCAGGTCTAAGCGAGCCTTGAACAAATAAATTAGATTATAGAAAGGACTCTACCTGTATCTATGTTGATATAAATGTGTCAAAAGACACATATTTTTTTGCAACACATCATCACTGGCACTTGCGTTAGTTTGATCAATCAACCACCACTAATTGATAACAATAATCATCACAAATTAAACAGGTTAATGATCTTTTTTCTCTCTTCAGTCTTATAAAACTGTATGAAACAAATGAAACTGATAAGGACTGAAATCAATGCAAGTTTATTCTAGGTCAAGCAGCAGAGTTTGACGCATTCCGGCTCTAAAGCTATACTGCGAGTATCTACTCTATTTCTGCCATAAGATATATTTACTTATATACTTGCCAACAGAGTAAATACTAGTTAATTTATATACATTATCGTTGCATCTCACAGGGTAAATGAAATCAAAGTTAGGAAACGTGCCAAAAGCATTGTAAGTCAAGGTAAAATCTAGCTTGGCTCTGCTTAGCTTCAATGATACTAGAGTCAGTGATAAACGAAATTCCTTTCAAACGATATTTATTTTAAAGCGATTTGATAACATTCTTAAAATATCTTTTAACTATTGAAATCAAAATATAAAATTAATTTAGATGTTACTGCCACTTGGTCTGCTTAGTGATAAAAGAATTAACGAATTTTGGACCAGAATCCCCATCTTTGCCGACCCTTAATCTTTGATGTCTTTACCATCTGTTTCTTTCCTCATCAATGGAACTTAAAATAAAGACAGCCATTGTACATTAAATCTCCACCGACCCTTTCATTAATGAATGACAGGGAAAGTACGAAAAAACGATTGTACATACATCAAGTTGCAGTTACATGGCAACAAACCAAACTAAAAACCATGCCCGCCAGTAATGTATATGGTGTATCAAATTCATGGAATATCTAAATTCATTTTTGTTATTGGGTAGCGCAATCGAGTTGGAAACAAAACTAGTATCCGCTTGTTGCAACTGGTTCGTTTTGATAATTCGTACTCAAAATTTATGAACAATGGAAACTTTACCAAACACTAGTTTGTATTTCATAGACAAGTATTTTTATTAAACACAATATCTGTTTTGTTTTGTACTGTATATTCCTGAAATGATAGGAATATCCTAGATATGATCACAAGTCTAAAAGAATTCAACTGCACGGATAGCGTGGTGATTTAAGAGATCGTCACGCCACAAAACTGAGTGTTGTGGGTGCTATCCTCACATGGGACACCACTTTGAATGATCAACAAATTGTTGTTCTGAGTCTGGGTGTATTTTGTGTTAATTTCATGTATATTTGTGAAGTACCCCGCGACACATGATATATATTCCTAATGCGGGAGATGTCTTAAAAACAACGAATTTTACTGTTTTTTTTTCAATAATTACATTATATTCAGAGTTGTCAGCTGATACTTCTTCAAGGCTCTTTTGCGATTCACGTTTACGATTAGATGTTATTCTTTGTCTATTTAATATTCTATTAAAGAAGAATAATTTACCTTGTAGTTGAACTGATTGTTAAATATTTTATAATACACGTACGTTCACGTCTTTACGAGTATCATTGAAGTGGTAGACAGAAGCGTATTAAACGCTCACATTAATTTCTGTCTCACTTACGTAAAAGCAGCAAACGGTTGTATACATTTCTAAATAAACAGACTTAAATATTTCTAAATCTGTACAGACACTGAACAAATATGATTTGGGTGGAACAAAGGTGGGGATGGAACCCATGACCTCAGGATCGCTAACTCATAAACCAGTAGGCCGTTAATGTCATCGTATTTCATAATACATCAAGTAAAAAGATTAAACTTTTGGAAGCAATAATAATAATAAAATAATTAACTTCGTCCAAAAGCCAAGGCACTTGTTTGACTAAGTCCGTAAATGTCACCAAAATTACTACTAGCGAAAGCTAAGAAAGAACAAATGCGCCACAACGATAATATTTTTTTTTTGTTTTCTCACACAGGCTAATACGTAGTTGGCAATTACACTAATAGACGTAGTAATAAGTACAATTACAGATTATTAATACAATATTCCATCGTATCAAAAGTATAATAGAAAAAACTACATTCATTGAAGTGTTTTGTTTAATATCTTTCTTCGATAAACATTGTTGTTACGTTAATTTTCTGCCATCGACAAACCTAATTACAACAATTTCGTGATTCAGCCACGGTTTCGTGAAAATCGAAACATAGCCGTACAATTCAATCGCGTGTTCCTCGAAAGATTTATATAAAACATAATTGGCTTCGTATCGGTTCGAGTGGCTATTTAGGTAATGGACGGAGGTCTTGTGATCTCAACAGCATTACACCCTTGATTCCGCCATTTGTTGGGCATCTCGGCCCAAATGTGTTTCTCTTATAAAGTGATTCGGATAAAAGCATGTATCGGCTGGGTTAGTTCTCGTTTGTGATCGCCAGACTTGCTTTTTGATACAGTTTTCAGAATAGTTTTCGGAAAGGACCACTAGAGAGATCGTTTTTCGATAATCTAATAACATTATAGAATTGGTTGATCCGAAATATGTCCATTAATACTAGAATACCAGTTTAACGTTTTTAGCAATTTTAAAATGTATACTAAATTTAAAATTCACAATATAATGTTTTTGCAGCGGAATTTAAAAAAAAAACATGAAATGGTCTGTTACAAAAAAGGTAAAAAATCCAACGAAAAGGAACTATAATAAACAAACAAATACAAAAGTTTACACACTTCTATCTGGTTGCTGGTTGTAATTTTCAAGCGAGATTCCAAAATCCGATAGAAGACTGTAGACTTTAACATATTATAAAAATATCTACTAGCGTATTTTTATGTCTTATTAGTAGTCTTAGTAGTATTAGTAGTCTATGAGTATCCTCAGAGAGCGTTATTGAATTTGATATGGCTTTTGTTAGATCATTAATGTACATAATAAATAGAAGTGGACCCAGGATACTTCCCTGTAGAACACCATACATTGTTTGTCATTGTTTGAAAACGTATTTTAGAGACAAGTATACTTATATATGTTTATATAAATTAAACATTTAAATTTTTATTTCATAATAAAGTTTTAAATATATAATATTTTACATAGTACAAATAATTTGTAAACTACAAGATAGTTTAGTAAAAATAAAGACATAAAACGAGCCGCTGCCACAAAGAACGAGTTAAAATAAGTTGCTCAGTTTTTTTTTAAAAGCTTTAAAATTAGTGATGCATGGCCAACTTTTCTCGTTAACTGGAACTAAGTTTAATGTCCAAAGTACCGAGATAGTTTGCTGCATAAAAACCATCAACCTTTGATGTAAATTTAAGTTAATGGCAGAGATGGACAGACTCAGAGTCATCTCGGCTTGAGGTAAAGTAGTCGAAATGCATAATAATAAGGAATAACAGAAAGTTACACGTGCACTCCTTTAACTTACTTTATTAAAGCCGATTTCATGAGAAATAGTACCATAGGTTACAGTTATTTGGTATTTTCAAAGAACCAGATTATCTTGTGAAAAACAACTGGTACTGAGGTTGCTATAGGAAGTGGATATTGCTCCTTGGATATCGGTCTCTGTGGATCTCAATTCCTAACTGGTTGTAGAAAGTTTTAAAGATGACTTAATACGATAAGTAATATCTAGAAAAATGAGTTCAATTCTACGCCGTTGTGATATGATTGTTTGTACAGATAGCGATCGAGGAACTTGCAATATTTTAACTCGATTGAAACTGTTATTTTGTGTCTCATATGATCAACATCTTTATGGCATAATGTCTAAATAAATCGGAGTTTTCATCGTATAGAGTAATGTTTTTATATCTGACCCCCGGGAAACGTTCGCCAGTATATTGAGAGATCAAGTTTCATGTGCGTTGCGTAACACAAAAAGGCGCAAATATCGATGAATATATCATTTTTTTCACTTCCCGACTCTGTCATATGAAATATGTGCACATAGACATTTTGTGATAGGAACTGTATAGGTTTTTTTGTATAAAAGTTGTTGGACCTATGAAGCTTTGGTAAATGCGACCTTATTTAAACCCAGGAAAATAGCAATAGCGTCAGTTGCTACTGAGCTACTGGAAGCCCCAAAATAAGAATGAGAATTTCTTTAAGCACTTAGCCAGCGGTAATCATGTAATTTAATGTGACTTCAGGTGGCAAGGGTCATGTTCAACTTGGTGGGATATATATTTTCATATTTTTTTTGTAAATACATACTTATTATACATAGAAACACCCAGACCAAATCAAACATGAAATGTTCATGCATACAAATGTTTGACTTGAGCGGGAATCGAACCCGCGACCTTTAGAATAGCAGTCCACTACGCCATCCTGTTCCATAAAAAATAAACTTGAAATTAGCAACTTCACTGTCTAATTGAGTATCTTCTAATTGATACCACTATGACATTAGTAGCCCAATAGTAACTAATCTAAATATTCATTTGAATAGCGTAAATGTGATAGAATACATTACTACATAATTTGAGCGCCGAAATATTGGTTCAACCACATTGTGGGTTGTGGTGCGGTCGCGATTATTTTAACGTAAACCGTTATATGTTTTGTTTTTAGTAGAAATACAGCACAGACTATTTATTGAACACTCAAAAATACAAAATGAACTGACACAGTAAAATACAAACAAAAAAGAAATAAAATAGTTACCTTTCCAGTTATTTACTTTGTAATTCCCTTCTAAATACAAATTTAAATAATTTGAAGTGTAGTGAACGTGAATTGGAAGCTATGTTGGTGCCTTAATTAGCAAGTCTGTTTAACTTTATGTGACACTAAAGACTCATAATTGTCTATGTCAGTTCATTGAACTAAATAGATCTGTGTGTGTGTACTTAGATGTATTGTTTGTGTATACTTGGATATACTTAAAATAAATATTCTTAAGCAGGTTCTCTTCTTATTACTGGTATATTTTAACTGTCATGTCGTTCTTAATCAAATATAGTCTTTGTCGGTGATATTAAGATATTTTCCTTGATTTTTAATGATATCCTTTGTCAGTAACGTATAGCTGTTCGTTAATTTGACGAGTAAGAGTCACCGAGTTTACACGGGTCAATGTCTTCGTATAAACATTTTGGTAACTTTAACTTTGATAAGCTGATTTTTAAATATATTGGCAAACAAAAACCAAAAGAATGTATATTCACGTTGATGTCAAAATAAAGTAAAGGATAATGTAATAGTTTACTTTATCATAAATTATATTTCTTAAAAATTAATATTATATTAAAATATATATCAATCGTAAAATTACATTTTTAATATTTTTTTATTCACAAATAATAATAAAAAAGCTTGTAGAAGCGAACAAGCAAGCGGATTACCTGATGATAAGTGACCACAGTCACCCTTAGACTCCTACAAGTCAAGACATACAAGTGCATTGTGCATCAGGAGACCCGTCTGCTCATTTGCTCCTTGTACGATAAAAAAGACTTTCTACTTTGTTAATATCATCATCTGTATAATCTATTTATACATGTAAAAGTACTAGAGTATATTTATTTTCCCCTAATTTTACGGCCTAGCTTACAGCTTGACTTCTGATGGCTCTTAGGAAGTTAATGGTGGGCAGCCCACAAGCAATCAAGTGGAAGGGGGCTTAATTAAGTCAATCACGTGAACGAGGGTAATCATGTATCTTGATTGGTCTCTTGGAAGCATTAAGTAAACGAT